GTTAATACTCTCCTAACCTGTTCCTCTACCATGCACAAGGCGGGTCACAACTTCACACGCCATAAAATAGTGCACGTAGCATTGGTGTGTGAGGAATGTGTTTTGCGTACACCTTTGCAATAATAGACAACGAACAAGCTGAAGTTTCGTAACTCCAAAACTACTACCGGACTTTTATGAAAAATATTTATCGATGGCAAGTTTTAGATTCCAGCGCGACGTTCATCTGAATAATTTTAGAGTTTACTGGAGCACAATAAAGAGGTAAACTGGAAAATATTGTATAGGAAGGGTTCACCGCATTGTATGCCTCCGATAATTTTTAAGATTTTATCTTTAAAAAGAGGGCAACGTTTTCCTCATAAAGTGGATCAAACGTTGCAGAAAAGTAGTTACAGTCGTGGGAGCATCGGTGCGCAGACCAGGTGGTCCCAAAGTGTGTTCGACACCGACACACCGTTACATCAGCCCTCCCCGGGCCGCTGCGCCACGCCACGCCACGCCACGCCACGCCTCGCCACGCCCCACGCGCGGACATACGAGGCGTACCTTCTTGCCCGATTAGTTCTATTCACACGCCACAGGCCTCGTGAGTTGAATGCGTTCGCCGGGTCTTATGTTCCGTCTCTGTCTCGGTTTCCCGTTTCCTCCTGCTTCTCTCACTCCCACTCTCTCTCTCCCCTTGTGCGCAAGCTAGTGCCGTGGTATTTACAGGCGTCGACCGATTCGCTCGATTCATCATGTCGGTATACTATCGGCCCCGCCACAGCACTATGTGTGCCCGGGCCGGGCCAGACGGGCGGACAGTCTGCTCCTCCACGCCACGGAAGCGCTTCGCCTCTATGCGCACCTGCAACTGCTGCAGCCGCCACCGCTACCGCTTGCGCCGCCTCCTCACAGCAGATGCAGCGCGCTGTGACCCGCCGCCGCCTGGCCGCCGGTGACACCCCGGCCCGGTGACCGCTGGTGACCCCCTCTCCAGCTGAGGACCCCCGCTAGTACACAACAACAAAAAGAGTGTCGCGCAAAAATAAAACACTAGACACACTCTTTGACAGCTTTATCACTTTCATTTCAGCGATACAATTGTTTCTTTTCTTTCGGAAAATGTGTACGATTTTTTAAATAAGTCGTCGACGGTCAGGACAACACTGATACATAAAGTGTTCCACCCTGAAGAATGTGTCTCGTATGCGTACTAACGTAGCGCAGTCCACTTACGCAGTTAATCTGCAAATGAAAGGTCAACTCAAACCTTTTGGAAATAGGGCTCACCGCGGGTGTAAATGTCTATGTCGGGCGTGCAAACATGTTGATGGCGCGGGGGCGCGGCTGAGTGCGCCATTAGACGCATTATGCGTTGTTAGGCCCTCCCCCGGCCGCTCCGCGCCAACAGCCGAGTACCAGGACCTTTCCCTCCGCGTCTGTTCGTTCACCTCCTGTGTGTAAAAACAATACAGTCGTACTTCAGTTCCGAAGAGTCGGCAGTGAGTGAAAAATTAAAAACAATATACTCTACAAATTTACTCGTAGTATTTTCCTATTTGAATCTGATCCAGTTGGGAATCTGGACCGTGGCGGCGGCGGGCGGCGCGACTGGCCGCCAGCGGGGTGGGCCGGCCCGCAACACTCGCCCGCTCGGCTGGCCGGCCTACGCTGGCGGCGGCCTCTACCACGGACCGCGGGGCTGGCCGCCTGTGGGGTGGGCCGGCCCGCAACACTCGCCCGCTCGGCTGGCCGGCCTACGCTGGCGGCGGCCTCTACCGCGGGGCTGGCCGCCTGTGGGGTGGGCCGGCCCGCAACACTCGCCCGCTCGGCTGGCCGGCCTACGCTGGCGGCGGCCTCTACCGCGCGGCTGCCAGCTGCCAACAGCGCTGCGGACGGCCACACTGCTCGCCGCCAATCAGCAGCCGATAAATTGCACACCCGATCGACGGTTGCGGTGAGGTGTGTATGACTATCGAAACCAAACCCCGCTATTTTGATGATGGCTCAAATTTTATTTTTGCCCTTGACACATCTCGTTTGCGGTCTTTCATCGGACTTCGTTTCTTTCTTTCGGCGTTCACGAATGCACCCTACAGGCAGGGGTCACGTTACAACATAATGAGGCAGACGGCTCCTGAAAAAAAAATTATGAGTAAAAAATTTGGAACAGTCTAAAAGTCCCACAGGCGCTAATGCTATGGTTATAGTCATGTTTTCCTCGGCTTCGTCGTGCCGGGCGGGGCGGGGTGGGGTGGGGCAGAGCGAGGTGGGGCAGGGCGGGGCAGCATGGGGATGTTCAGGGTCGGGGCGGGGCGGGCCAACGTGCTGGCTTTGAGGCACCTCCACCCGCCCACTATCCGTCATCTCACCTTACAAGAGAAATGCGCACCCACAAGACCAGACCAGTGTGATATATTTTTTTCCGCCTCTTATTGTGTGCCTTTTGGCGGCCGTGAGCCGTCGGCTCTAAAACACCGACACACCCTCAATAAAGAACACTTTGTTGGGACACACTCCGGGACGCCCCCAACTTCTCCCCCGAATGAATTGTGACAATTTTTCCACGGACCACGCGGCCTACACTTCTAGCGCCGCCGCGCGGCGTTATGCAAAAAGGGAGGTGCAGTATTGCTTTTCTCCGCGACCCTGCGACCCTGGACAGGCTGCGTTCGCCCACCACTCTCACCTGTTGTCCCATGAGA